TTTTTCCTGGGTGGTGATGCCAGGGAAGTCTGCTGGTAGGGTGGGGAGGAAAGAAAGCCAGCAGGGGTGTCACTGAGCAAGTAATTGCTGGACAGTTGGAGACTAACCCCACCAAAGACCTCTAACCCTGTGGAGAACATACTATAAAGTTATTCCACCAGGGGATGAGGAATAATTTTCAAATATTAGCATAGATGTTACCATTCATCTTTATATGTGTAATGAGGGCTTTACATGCAAGTGTCAGCATTTAACTCCTAGCAGAGTCCACCTCCCTGACAGGTGAGGAAGAACTATGAGGAAAAGACCCCACGCCACCTGTCTCTGCCTTTCCCTCCTGCCTCTCGGTTTTCCCTATAAACGTTTGGTAAGTCACATGAGGAAGAAAGGATGTGACAGGGCTCCTCATTGCTGCAGTAGCTTCTTTCCACTATGGAAGCAAGTTCTGGCAAGACAGGAGAGCATGGCCTCTTGGGTCTTCACACCCCCTCTGCTTGTTGCAGATGTGATACATTGACCTTGCCCTCACCTTGTCCCTCTGAACTCCCTGGTGTCTTGGGTTCCACAAATTCTGTGCTCATGGACCCTGGGAAAGTTCTAGGGAATGTGGAGCGAGGAGAGACCTAGGCAGACACTGTGCGGCTGCCCTGAAGGTATGCTCCTTGCCCATCCAACTGCTCAAAGCACCCAGCAGCCTCCTGCGCAGCCTGCAGCACCCAGCAGGGAGCTCTGGGTTCCGACCTGCCATGGTCAGGCTTTCTGGAGAGGCTCCAGCTCTCCTAGCCAGAACAAAATGTATTAGCTACCTTTGTGAAAGCACTTGATGTTTTCACTTGCAATCTGCACATATTCTCAGGAGGTAGAAGCTCCAGTCTCACATGGCCCAGAGGTAGCTGGATAGTCTACCTGTCAGTACCCACAGCCCTCTTTCCCAGGGACTACTTCTCCAGCTGCTCTGAGTGGGTTTTCTGGAGAGGCGCAGACACAGCTGCCTGCTGCTAAAATGGCTCAGGGGTCCCATGGAAAGGGAGAGAGCTGGAGACTGAGAGTTTCTTTCCGTATGAAGCTGCTCTTCATCAAGATCCAGTGCTTTGGTGAAGGTGCTTGTAAAGTACTCTGTAATTAAAAAGGAAACAATAATCCAGGTTTACCCACATCCTCAAGGCCAGTGTGCTGATTATTTATTTATTTATTTATTTAGAGACAGAGCCTCACTGTCTCCATGGCGTCACAGCTCACAGCAACTTCAAACTCTTGGGCTCAAGAGGTCCTCTAGTCTCAGCCTCCCAAGGAACTGGGACTACAGGCGCCTGCCACAATGCCAGGCTGGGTTTTCTATTTTTGGTAGATACAGGGTCTCACTATTGCTCAAGCTGATCTGGAACTCTTGAGCTCAGGCAATCAACCCACCTCAGCCTCCCAGAGTGTCAGGATTGCAGGTGTGAGTGATCATACCTGAACTGTTGATAATTTAGAAATCAAGTTATGAAACCATGTTCAAATTGTCCATGGATTATCTTATTTGATAAACTCCTTTTACTAAAAATCTATTTGCCAACTGTAAAAACACAACCAAGGTTGTTTTCCTGCAGCCCTGGATCTAGCCCTGCCTGGTTTGATTCCCATTAAAACACACAGCAGGAGGGACAGGGAATGGTCGATTCTGATATTTCTGCACAACTAGGAAAATGGCTGAGTGCAGTGTCACTTGCACAATCAAATCACGTTTCCTCCTGATGGATCCCTGGGCCAGCTTTCTTGGATGAGGAGTTCATCTGATGCTCACTCCGAAACCATAGCACCATGTGTGCTTTGCTCGGGGCAAGGCTAACAGTTATGTCTTGTGCTTGTTAGGCTTTAGCTGCTCATGGAAATGCAACACAAACCCCAGAAGCCTCTTCTGATGAGTTTCCTCTTTGACTCTGTCATCCGGGACTACAGATGTCAAAATTCCGTGCATGCATAGGGTGACCAGATTTTAACATTTGTAAAGCAGGACAACATGGAGGGGGAGGGGGTGGGGGCAGGGGATGGAGGCAGGGGACAGGGCAGAGCAGGGCCTGACAATAATGCAAACTTCAATAAGCAGTTCTGGATAATTACTTCTCAATAATTATTTGTTATTAATACAGTTTAACATTATAAAGTTAACAAAAATAATATAAAACTCATATTCTGGCAAAATAGCCACATGGCAGCTGAAAATCATATATTCCCTTCCTGTTCTCCCACCCATTGGTGCATTCTTTCCAAAAATCGAGACTTTTTAAAAATGCAGCAGGACAAGGGACAAATTGTTCAAAAGCAGGACTGTCCTGCCAAAAGCGGGACATCTGGTCACTCTATGCATGCAACACATTTCTAAGGCTTCATGTATGTGTTCTAAACATTTCAGCAAATATAGGGTTTACTAAGGTGTTGGTCACCTATGACAATTAAATTATTTTATTAAACATTTATTGAAATTTTGCCACACACAGGAAGCACCAGCACATTCTTGAGAAAAAATGTGATGGTCCTGGTTAGTAGAGTGGTGAGTTCCCCTCCTGCTCCCCCCAAAAGAAAAAACATGATGGCGTATTTGTTCTTTGGGAACTTATGGAATTGGTTAAGAGACAAGCAAGCAAATACCTTTTGATTTGATAGCATAGGAGGGTACAGAAAGAGTCACAAGGAGTGATGCTGTTGTTTCTGGTGTGGCAAATACCCCAGATGGAGTGAGTATTTAAAGGTGTCTTGAAGGATGGACAGGAATTACTGTTTATTCATGTATGAAAATCTCCCCCAAGCCTTTTCACTATATAAATAATTTATTATCACTGTCTAAAAGTCATAAATAGAAACACTTTTAAATTCCTTTTAAGTCCAGCCTCCACCTAGAGATAAATATTTTTATGCTTGATACATTTAGATTCAATAAACATACTTGAGATCATACCCTGATAGTCTATTTGATAACATGTTTTCACCATTCCTCATTTTGTGAACATCATCTCATATGCACAATTATGTATACATCATCTTTATTAATATTAATAACTGCATATTATGTTATCATAAGGAGACACCATGATTTATTTTACTAACCCCTATTTTTTGAACATTTTAGGTTGTTTTCTGTACCTCTTTAATCATTCCTTGGGATTATTTTGTGCAACTAGAAGGGACAGCATTACTAGAAAGGGAGAGGAGACAGCCTCTGAGGAAGGAACAACAGAAGCAAAGAAAGGAACAAAGATGAGAAAAAACAGAGCTTGTGGGGATCCCAGCTTTGTTGGAAAGTGGAACCTGCACAGAGAGGAGCTGGAGGTGGTTGGAAACTGTTCTCTGTCCTAATTTCGAGTGTTGGAAAGGCTTTGATGAATTCAACTGGCTATAAGGAAAGTATAAATGTCTATAACTTTCTGGGCAGGTGATTTGGGAATATGCATTCATAATGTTTATATTCTCTGTCCTAGAGATATACTCTTAGGAATTTATCCTACATTTACTGAAAAATTGTCAAGGGATGTTCAACCTTTTGCCTTCTCTGCACTACACTGGAAGAAGAAGAGTTGTTTGGGGACACACATTAAATATACAAGTACTAACAAAAGCTGGTGAGCAAAAAACAAAAGTCTGTGCATAATTTTTGTGATATCCATCAATATATCAACCTTGGTGATATCTAACACCATGCAAAAAAGTCTTCACAGTTCTGCATAGGTTGGACATCCCTGCCATTTCCATGATAGAAAAATCTTCCAAATTTCTTAATGAATGAATACTGTGTTTTGGAATTATAATTCCAAACCTGGTAAAGAGACCACGATTAGATTGATCATATATCTTCATGGGCCCATTATTATTATGACCTATCTATGTGGTCCTGATGTAGTCATTAAAGTGTGCCTTTTTACTCTCCAAAGTGCCTGGTCACTCTATCCATGATGTAAAACTGAAGGAGGTAGGCTGAGACACTCCATAAAAGGCTGTATAAATAGACCTTGGGATGACACATATTTAACAATTGGTTCTCTGGGAAGCCAGTGCTTATTTGCCTTTGCCAATTTCTGTGGTGTAAATACTCCCATTGTGGCCAATTTTAAGCCACAATGTGGGGTTACTGAAGGCAGATTTGGGATGAGATGAACAAAATTGGGCCTCCCACGCCAGTCCAAGCTGACTCAGCATACCCCTGAGTAAACTCAGCATAGTGTGGGTAAGTAATCCACAAGGACAAATGTCATTATCTTTCCATGGCTAGAGGTATTTTTTTTTTTTTTGAGACAGAGCCTCAAGCTGTCACCCTGGGTAGAGTGCCATGGCATCACAGCTCACAGCAACCTCTAACTCCTGGGCTCAAGTGAGTCTCCTGCCTCAGCATCCCAAGTAGCTGGGACCACAGGCACCTGCCACAATGCCCAGCTATTTTTTTGGTTGCAGCTGTCATGGTTGTTTGGCAGGCCTGGGCTGGATTTGAACCCAGCACTTTAAGTGTATGTGGCTGGCGCCTTAGCTAGCCTGCTAAAGGTATTTTTATTTTCTTCTCCTTTTTGGTGGCAGGAGGGGAGGAAAATTCCCTCAAGGAGGGAGTGTGATTTCCAGTGGGCATCAGCCAAAAGAAAATTGTTTGTTGCTGAAGAGGACAATCAGGGTGCTCCTGGGGCAGCAAGGTGGCCCTGCTGCTTCTCATGGAGGGGTGCACCTCTGCACTCAGGTGCTCCCCTCAGCTACATGCCACCACCTTCATGACAAGAGAATAGGTTTTGGGGTCTTTTGTGCTCCTGTCCTACCAGCCTCCAAAAGCTGGACAGAGTGAGGAAGAATAGAGAGAGGCTAAGGCAGGCAGACTCATTAGGAAACTGTATAACAGTACCCCAACAGAAAAAAATCAGCAAGAAAATTCAGAGAAAAGAAAAATTGCAAGAAGTACTGGATACTCTTGTTCCTGTGCTTGACGGATGGAACTTCTGGGGAAAACCTCGCTTTCTGAACAAACTTCATAGTCCAAAGTCTTCAAGTAATACAGTCACATCATTAATGTGTCACCTTGTGCAGGGGTCATGCTAATCTTCTCTGTATTGTTCCAATTTTAGTGTACATGCTGCTGAAGTGAGCACCATTAACATGGATAAAGAACTGAATGCCAGTTAGTCAAGCCCCTGAAGTGGGATTGATCATGCATCTGCTTTTGTGGGAAATCTTCACATCCATAATGCCAGGCTCTGTTGGCTCCTGCCTCTGAGCCACAATCACAAAGAGCTTCACCAGCAGGCTCCCAGCCCCAGCCTCAGCCAGGAGTAGACAGGCACTGAAATACCCACTGTGTATTTAAGAGGGATCATTTTTAGCATGGCCAAAGTCCAGTGGCTCTTGCATCTGAGAGTAGTTATAAACTCAGTTTATATTTTCATACATTTATTTACTCATGGAATATTCATTAAGCACCTACCATGTACCAGGTAGTGCCCTAGGCATATGGGAAGCACCAGTGAATAACAACAAAAATAGGCCAAAATCCCTGTCCCTACAGATCTATTTCTTTGGGGAGAAGACAGATGGTAAATTATGTAGGTCACTATGAAAGTTTTGAGACAGACTGTGTTATGGGGTCCATTATTTCACTTCTAAGAAGCATTGTCAACACCATCCTTTCTGATTCACCTGAGCAAGTTTTAACTTGCTTGGCTTGTTAGTGTTGCTGAGAGGGCTTCATTTATTTCCATCTATGCAGATTTTACATTTCTTGATTCTTGTGTATCTCAAAACTTTCATAATGACTCACATATAGCATGTTGAAGTTATATAGCTCCTTGAAAAATAATAGAGCAGTAAGAGGGAAATGAGAAGTGCTTCGTGGGAATGTTGACATTTGTCTTAGATATTAAATCCCTTACTCCCACATAACTAAAAAACCAGCCATGCCTGTAAACAAACTAAACTTTCCTCAATATTGGTAGATTTTCCATCAGTCAATCACATAATTTAGTGAATTGATATATTGATCTAATCACTCTCTGGCATAGAACCTTCACGTTCTAAGTCCACATTCACACACCTATGAATGGAAAGCTTAGGGAAACAAGATCTCTCTAGGGGAATTAGAGAATAGTCCAAAGGACGCAGGTCAAAATGTGCCATCACAAATAGTCACAGCAGGAGAAAATGCTATTAGTCAAGTTTCTATGGCTGTCACTAAGTCACTGTAGGACACACTCTTTTCCTTTGTAAAATAGACAAAAGCCTTCACACTCAAGGAGCCTTCACCTGGTAGGTAGAAAGGGCCACAAACAAAGGAGGGGTGAATCAGCAGAAGATTCTGGAGTAGCAGGAAGGTATAGGCTAGGTGTCCTCAAACTACAGCCCACAGGCCACCCACCGAGGACATTTATCCAGCCTGCCGGGTGTTTTTGCTGCCTCTGCCTGTCCTGCTTAGCGGCTGACTCATCCCAGGGCCCACATTCTGGCCCTCCAATGGTCTGAGGGACAGTGAACTGGCCCCCTGTTTAAAAAGTTTGAGGACCCCTAGTATAGGCAGAGGAATATCAAGAAAAACATCAAGGAGTATCCAGGAGTATCTCTAGAACTACACTGGAAAGATGAATGGTTATCAGGGACAGGGAGGGAAAGACTGTATGGCAGGTGAAACACTTGAAAACTTCTTTTGTTCTTGTCTAACCATCTAAGAGCAATGTTCTATTTAATTTATTTACCCCTTTGTCAGTCCCTAAGATATGAGAACACAGCACTAAATAAATGCTTATTATGAGAAAGAAAAGAAGGAACAAAAACTAAGGAAAGAGACCACTCACTTTGGGGACATGGTTAGTCTAATGAAACCAAGCCATGAAAGTCAAGAGAAGAGAGGAAATCAGTAATCCAGCAGAGGCCAAATCATCAAGAGCACCATCTGACCTAATAAAGAGTTTGGGCTTTATCCTGAAGCAGTTATTGGGAACATTAGAGTATTTTAAGAAAGGGAAGACATGGATGACATCAGCAAGATGGCAGAAAGGGAAGTTTCCAGCTCTAGTATTCCCCCTACCAAAAAACTCCCCACCAATTTGGCTACTGTCCACAGATGAGAATGCCTCTATGAGAATTCTGGAACCCAAGAGAAAGGTTGCAGCCCAGATAGAGCACAGAAATTGAGAAAATATTCATTAAAATGGGTAACAGGAAAGTAATTTCTTCATATGAAATTCTCCAGTTAGAGGAGAAAAATGAAAGTGTTAAAGAAAACCTATGGGACCCATGAGACAACATCAGCTGAAACAAACAACATACATCTTATGTGAATCTCAGAAGGAGAACAGAAAGAGAAAAAGATAGAAATCGTATTTAAAGAAATAATACCTGAAATCTTCCTGAATTTGGGGAGGGATTCCAGATTGATGACACCGAAGAGTCCTCAAAAAGGTTGAACTCAAAGATATCTATATGTAGACATATTCATTATATTGTTAAAAATCAAAGGAAAAGAGAAGTTTGAAAGAAGAAAGAGAAAATTGACTCATCACATACAAAGCAACCCCCATGAGACTATCAGTGAATTTCTTGGCAGAAACCACACAGGCCCACATGGAGTGACATGACATATTCAAATTATTGGGAAAAAAACACTGCTAGCATTATAATATTTTCCCAAAAATATTATGCCCAGAAAAACTGTGCTTCAAAAATGAAGGCCAGATAAGGACTGTCCTAGATAATAAAAAATTTACCACCACTATTACCTTTTAGGAAGTGCTAAAAGGAATTATTCAAGTTGAAACAGAAGCTAAACAACAAAACCACAAAAGTATGTTAATGGTTACACAATATAAAGCATGGATATAAGCAAAATTCATGTATTGCATTTTGTTGTTGAATCAACTTAGTCACTTTTGGTCATGATGTTTAGAAGGAACAAGGACAATTGTTTCATCAAATGCCCACATTCTGGATTTGTATGGTGATGTAATTTGTGCCATCATTAAATTGATGATCTCTCTCCTGTGTTTCTGTACACTAGAAGTCAGACCAAAAGGTTAGATTTAGTGTAAACATATTCATTGAGTATACTTTAATATGACTATTTAAAATCTGTCCTAATGTCACGGTGACAATGAATGCTTATAATTCCAGCTACTTGGGATACTGAGGCAGGAGAAATGCTTGAGTCCAGAAGTTCAAGACCAGCCTTGGCAACATAGGCCCCATCTCAAAAAATGTTTATTTAAGGATGGATTGCACAACATGGCAGCCTAGTAGCAGCTTCTGTGTAACCAGCCACGGTGAGATTGGGGAGAGAAGACTCCAGGCATTTCTGGCCAGTGGGTTCTGCCCAGAAGCCTCCCGTTGGTGACACAGGGAGTCAGCCAGAGATTTGTGGACCCCATGAGGAGGATAGAAGCAGTGAAAAACTGGCAAGTAGTACCTGTGCGTTTGTTTGGTTGGAGGCTATCTGCAGCTGTAACCATAGCAACAGTGAGACTGCAAGCAGGAAAAGCCTAACATATCAGCTGTATTGCTTTCTTTTTGGACTTGGCCACTCAATTGACTTCCCTGTGAGATCTTGGGCAGGTGTGCAGGCAACTTTGGGCATTGTCTGGGGCCCTGGTTTGAGCCATTGTGGTGGAGAGGAGCTAACATCCTTCAGCTGTAGGCTGTCCGCACAGCTACTGTGGGGGAGCTGCCCCTGTGTGTTGCAGCATGGGGATTGGCCAGGAGACCTTTGGCAAGTAATCTAGTGACTGAGCTGCCCAAAGGCAGGGACTGAGACACCGGGTAAGAGCAGAGATCCAAGTGTTTGGCAGATTAACAGCCTTGGCCCTCAGGGGCCCGGAGGGAGACTGGATTTGGTACACTGAATAGGCAGCAGCCACACCAGGAGAGGTTCAGTGATAAATGCTTTCCTTGGAAAGCTTCTGCTTAGCCAAGGCTCACAGTTTGGAGTATCTTTTGGGCAGGCTGAGGAGACATTTGGGCTCCCAAGCCTGCGGGGTCTGAGAGGTCAGTGGAGGCCCTCAGTCTCCATCTCATACAGCTGTATCAACATTGTAATTAATATCTCATACCTCAGAAGATCGCTCGACAATATTCAGCAAGATATATATACTGTTTGGTTTTCTTGGTTTGAAGTTTTTTATTTTTGTTCCTAATTTCAACATTTTTCCTTGACATTTTTCTCTTTTTTTCTTTTTGTTCTTTTTTCTCTTTTCCCCGCTATTCTAGTTTAAATACAATCTTCCGTTTTTGCCTTCTTTAACAATTAGAATTTCATTTTTGCAAGTGTTTGTGCCCCTATTATTTGTCCCCACCCCCAATTTTATCCTGTAAGAGTTTTTGCTTGTTTGTTTTGGTTTGATTTATACTATTTTTGTCTTTTCTCTCTACCTGGTGGAGGTGGGGTTCTGTGTCTGATCAGGCTGCAAAGAGCTGTTGACCTCAAGGGAACTACCCAACCCCACCACCCCCAGAGGTTGGGGGTTTTAAGATTGGATCATAGTACCCTAATATACACCTGTATTACTCCTGTCTCCTTCTTTTGGTGCCTTTCTTCTTTTTGTCATATTTCCTTTTACTCACCCCCTCTTCTTTCTCTTTTTTCTTTCTTTTTAAAATCTTTTTCCCTTTTTGCTTTTCAATCTTCTCATCCTTCTGGTCCCATATGAAAAGGACTCATTAAAACTTTTAGCCAGAGGCACAGTAACATAAAGAGCAAGAAGTGAAAGGAAAATTAGGCTAAGGAGACAGATACAAGAAAGTACTCATGAAGAAGAATCAGCAGAAAAATCCTGGCAATATGAAATACCAGTCCAGAGCAACCCCTTCAAGTGACCGTGAGATAGTTACAGCAGAGGATTCCACCTATAAAGAAATGTTAGAAATGACAGAAGGGGAATTTAAAATACAGATGATGAAAACAATGAAGGAAATTGCTGAGAAAGTGGAAAATAACCAAAAGGAAATCGAAAAACAGAATCAAATAAGAGATGAATGATATAAAGAATATAGAAAGGATATAGCAGAGCTGAAGGAACTGAAGCAGTCAATTAGGGAGCGTAAAGATGCAATAGAAAGTATCAACAACAGATTAGATCATGCAGACAAAAGAATCTCACAGGTAGAAGATAAA